CTGCTGGAGGACATAGGGACCCCCATTTCATCATTCTCTCTCTATTCTGCTATTATGCTTTTCCTCATAGTAGCTTCATCTGGTTTGTTCCTGTTTGGCTGTGACTCCATCCTGGAGAGAAATATCAGCTGTGCTGCTGCCATCAACACCTTTGTTTATAGATGTTGGAGCTCGGCCCTGTTTTTCATTGTAGTCCTGTTTCTCTGAATGTGACTGGTTGGATGTGCTCTCTTTATCGTTTGACATGGGAGCTGGCTCGGAGCTCGTCTGCCTGGCTGTGTGTTTCCTGGATGGGGTCGCTTTTGGAGCTGGTTTAGAGTTACCTCTTTTATCTCTGCTTCTTTTCTTATGTCTGCTTCTGTCTCCTTGAACCTTAGTCGGCCTCTGCTGATGGTCGCTCACACTGAATCTGGTTCTGGTGGTGGTTTCTTAATTGTTAAAACTGAGTTTTTCCTCTCCACTGTCGCTACAAGCATGCTTAGTGTGAGGAATTGCCTTCGAGTCAATAAGTCGATGCAATCAACTGGTTTTCCACATGATCCGAGTGCAGCGATTGAATTAATACGACTGAATCTTGTTGAATTGTAAAGTGCCTTGAGATGACGTGTGTTCTGAATTGGCGCTATATAAATAAGCTGAATTTAATTTAATTAAAGTGCTAAAAGAATAAATACATTATGTAAATGTTTTAGTCCAAATATTAATGGGTTTTATTCTAAAGGCCAACACCCAGCTCAGTTTTGTTACCGGATACTTGGGTTGCTCATGATAACCCTGCTACATTGGTGGGTAAGTGAAGGAGGTTTCTAAGTATTGTCATTTGAGAAGGAAATTCAGTTATAGCTTATCTAAGTTTTACTGTTTATTTATGAGCTGCCTGTTGAATCCTGCTATCACTGGAGTTCGATCTGATAGCATGGATGCCTTTTAGATGAGACTCCAAAGAAGCAGTTTGAACGCAAAGTCAAAAGACAGTTTCTACCATTGCCTCTTTAGATAATATCACCTAATGTCTAATGGAGCAGAAGCCTATCTCGGTTCAACAGACATATAATCACTGTCTCCCCTGTCCATCTGCTTTGGACGTCCTCACATCACTCCCTGTTTAATTAACCGCACAGCCTGCAGTACCTCAGAGGGGGTTTCTGGTTTCTGTTGCGCCACTTGATATCCCTGGATGAGTCCAGTCTGGAATGGACTTATAACACAGTTAGCAGCTGAGATAAAAACTGTTTGCTCTAATTTAGCAGAGGGCCGTTCCTCTGCTTTTGGTTTTTCAGGTCGATTTTTAACCTCATTAGCACAAAGTACTGATGAGAAGGAAATTTGAGCAACATCTCTTTTGTTGCCACTTCACCCCTACAAGTTGGAAGTCATGCTGGGCACAAAATCAAAAACATGAAAAACAACAACAATGATACCCTTGAGGGTTTCTGAGATTAGTAAAAGACTCAATGATATTGATCAACAAATAAAAAAAAGGGAAATACAAATAAACTGAGTTTTTTTTTTTTTTTTTTTTTTTTTTTTTTTTTTTTTAACTGATTGGTTTTTTTTAAAGCTTAAATTTTTGGACAACTGTATCCGCTTTTGTTCCACAGCTGAGATAATTACATGATTGCGCCCGCATGTGGGGTTTCTGTTTGTATAATGGCAGCCCTGCTGTTTGTGCTTCTGCAGCCTCTGGTCCTTTTTAATCAAAATATTCATCCTGACAAGTAGATATAAAAAGAAAAAAAATATGTATTCTACAAATATTCTTCTGGAGAGATCAAATATTAGAAAATAAATTGAACTGTAAGGACATTTCCAGCTGCTTAAGTATTAGTATTGCTGCAAGTAGACCAGAAATTTCAATCTTAAGGGAGGCAGTGATAATTAGCTGCCACATTGGTCCAATGCTAACCTGACTCCGCCAGATGGATTTGCTCCGCATATCCATCTGGAAACCTTCC